GAACTGAGCTCTTGGCAAGCTGCGGTGGGGGTGGAGCGGTGAATGACAAGCTCCAGGAGGAAGACCAAGCCTCCAGGTCAGCACAGGAGACCTCCACTGGACTGAGAAGCCAGTGTGGGAGAGTGGGGCTTTGGGGGAGCACAGGACTGCTTGTGTGGGGAGGGGGTGCTGCTGTGAGCTAGGTGCCCCCCAGGGGGCTGCTGCCCTGGCATCCTTGGTGAGAGGAAATCGCATCCCCTGTGGGTAACTGAGCACCAAGGAGAACCGGAGGGAGCCCTGGTCAGTTTCAACGTGTATCCCTATCCCACGAGCCAGGATCGGAGGCGACCAGGAAGACCCTTCTCAGTAAAAGTTTATGCAGTGACCGGCCCCCTAGGCACCTTCGTCATGAGGCCTCGAGCCCTGGAGAAACGCGGGCGTCCCTCTGTCCGCACAGTCCCCGCCGCAGCTCCCCTCGGACCGGGAAAAGCTGCGCGGCGAGCAGGGGTGAAAGTTGAAGAGGGAATAAGCGTGTAATCGTCCGCGCCAGACCTCACACGCGCTGAAGGGAATATTTACAGCAAACTTGCCAAAGTAAACGACCCCGCCTCCCCACCGTCCCTTCCCTCGCCGCCCCCCTTTTTGGTAAACTTCAAGATAAACACCCCTCGGTCACAAAAGGGTCGGCCTGTCCTCTACAGTGGGAGGCAGTAGGGGAAGGTGAGAGCCGGCAGACGCGTCCCCGGCCTCGTGTGGGCAAGACTAGCATCGCTGCCGCCTCCCAGGCCTGGGCCGACAGCCGTGGATGTGATTGCGCGTGGGTTTGATTGCGCGCGTGTGTTCAGACGACATTTATTCCGAGGCTTCTCTGCCTCTCCCCCATGTGAGCATCTGCACTCAACACTATTCCTGCGCCTTACACGCCGCGGGCATGACCAGATATGCAAAGGTTATTGTTATTACTAAAAACCAGGCCTACGAGCAAGGGAAAATTTCTTCTTGCCAAAGGCGGAGGGCTATCGGAGGACACCAGCCGCTCCTGGGGGCCTCTTGGACCCACACTTTGCCCCCCTTCTCCTGCCCCAAAGGCACCACTTCGCAGACTCTGCGGAGGGCTGGCTCAGTCCACGTTTCCCGTGTGTCTTTTGTGGAGCAAGGAGGCGAGGAGAGAGAGAAGATAGAGGGAAAGAGGGGAAAAAAAAAAAAAAAAAGGACCATGCCGGGCCCGCGCCTGGAGCCTACAGCCCGGGCTGGGGGGCGCCAGCCCTGTGGGTTCCCCTGGCGGCCGGGGCCTGGCACAGGTCCTCGGCCGCGCTGGCCTGTGTTTAGCTCGAGTGCGGCGGCCACCAGGGCCGCTTTTGTTTGTTTGCAAATTATTCACCAGCGCACGGCCGGCGCCAGAGCGGGTTTATCACCCACCTGGGAAGGGGGCGCGGCGGCCCCGGGAGA